CCTCTTTATCAAGGGTAAAGTTTTGCTTTTCCAAGGTGCATGGACTGTGCTTGAGTGTTGCACACCAGGCATTGGCCTCCAGCCTCCACCATATGCACACAAACGGGTGCATATATCTGAAAACACATGCATATACCTGCACACACAAGCTAGCACCATGCACAACACACACACTCACACAGAGAGACAGTCAGACAGACACACACAGAGAGGTTATTGTAATCTAGCTTGTTTTTACAACATTATTTATTTAGTTGAATTTGACAGAAGAAATTGTAGAGGTAAAATTAATAAGTCTTTGAATACATGCTTTTTACTATGAAATATGTGATTATGATATAATATGCCTCTTTAAGAGCAATAAAAATGGTTATAAAAACACTAAGAGGTTGTGAGCTTTTTAAGTGCGTCTTTTGATTTTACAGAGTTTCCGCAGAGCTAGGAAGAGCATCTTCCTCCAAGTGCCGTTCCACTTGCCTCCTGGTGGCTCCTGGTGGGTCTTGGCTGTCGTTCTGTATCTGTCCTGTCTATGTTGTTTACATTCTCCTCCATAAACATGGCTCCTGCGCACTTCCAGCACTGGCAGGAGGGGAGCTGGTTCAAGGCGCTCATAAAGATTTGCTCCTGACTTCCCCACGCCTAAGTTCCAACTGGCTGCCTTTCACTCTCGGGAGCTTTCTGTTTTATTGTTTTCTTTTAAAGTTGAGCTCAGGATATTGTATTTTGTAAAATGAGTCGTCTCTGAGATGATCTACCTAGATGTTGATTTGAATGTAGTCTTTATTTCGTAGGCTAGTCTTTATTATTCTGAGAATATGTGGGGCGCATTTCCCATCCCAGAGGCACTGAATGGCAACAAAGAGGAATTTGATGCTATCTCTGGTGACTGCCCCCACCCCAACTTTATAACTGACCTATCTGAGAGTAATGGACATGCTTGCACCTTTGATGCTGTGGACTAGAAATGACTTCTATTCTTTGAGGGAGAATGTCCCTTCCATAATAGAGGGTGCATTTGATTCCATTTGATGGGTTCACCCTCTAAGAGATGGGTTGATTGCATCAAATTCCTCTTTCCCATCCATCTCTACTGTCTTCCCACTGGTTGCTTAACTTGTCTTGAAGGCTGTGGCCCCTGTAGCTCTTTGCAGTTACAGTTTTCCCGGAGCTGATGTACTGAGTCCTTGCTGTTTTGGTTTTGATCTCAGCCCTTAAACACGTGCTGTTTCACCAGTCATTCCTTGAGCCTGTATTTTCTCTCTCCTGATAATTTGGACTTTCATTTTTTTGTGTATGTATTTGTGTGCGCATGCACACATATGTGCATGTGCATTTGCATGGCTATAGTGGTTTGAATGACAATGTCCTTCGTAGGCTTCATGTTTTACCACTTGGTCCCCAGTTTATGGTGCTGTCTGGGGGAGGTTTAGGAGGTGTGGCCTTGCTGGAGGATGTACATCGTGGAGGGCAGGCTTTGAGGATTGGGTTTATAGATTGTCACTTTTTTTCCAGTTTGTTCTCTTTACTCAATGCTAATGGAAAGGACTATGAGTTCCTGCTTTCCTGACCCAACCGCCATGCCTGCCCCACGTCCCATGCCTCCACTTCACCACCCTGAACTCTATCCCTCTGGATGCATGAGCCAAAGGTAGATCTTTTCTAAGTTGCCTTAGTCACTATAGCAGCAATGGGAAAGTGACCGATACAGTGGGCGTCTGTGTAGAGACCAGAGGTCAGTAGGGGATGTGGTCCTCAGTCATTCTCCATCTTCTTTTTCCCCACCTGACTTTTTGAGACAAGGTTTCTCATCGAATCTGGAGCTTGCCAACTTGACCACACTGGCAGGTCAGGGAGCCCCAGCCTTTTATTTGTATGGGTTCTTGGAAATGGACTTAGGTGCTCTCAGCTGCCCGGCAAGCACTTTGCTGACTGAACTCTCCACCCAGCCCTGGACCTGTGTTCTTATTCAGTGGACCTGTGGAATGCAGCAATGAGATTCATTTCCTTGGATTTGTATTATTTTTACTAGATTACTTATGTAGGCCTTTTGCCCTGTACATATATTTATGTTCATCTATTCTTATCTATACTGTTTTTTTGTTTGTTTGTTTGTTTGTTTGTTTTTGCGGGTGAGTATGCATAGCTGCTATGTTGTTTCTTGTCTCTCACTCAGGCCTATGGAAGCTTGTCTGTCCATGCTTTATTAGTCTGACCTGGTCCCTCCCTCATCCTCTTGGAACCCAGCTCACTGCTTCTTTCTAATTAGCCATGGAAGGCAGTTGTGGGCCTTGGGTTCTGGCAAATCTTTGTATTATGAATGAGACAGAGGAGGACCACGTCTGCCTGGGTCACTGGAAAGGCGTTGATGACAGTTAACACACAGTTCTATACTGTTAATGACACTGTTGGTGCTAATGACAAGTTCCTTAAACTCTTACCTTGGGTGTTCCTTTTGATATTTATTTTCTTATAAATAAGCAAAGGTAGTGGGGTATGCTAGGTCAGGAGAGCCATAGCATCCTTTAACTTCATCCTTGGAGTACAGGAGGACAGCACTTACTGTGACTGTCCAGCACTCCCAGCTCAGATAGGGAGGTTCTGAGGCCCACACCCAAGGTGGTCTTACGTTTGAGCTTTATTCTTATCATAGCCCTCTTGAATCTCAGTACGTAGCATCTAACATCACGTATATAGGCTTATAGCAAAAGCTATGATGCTTAAAGCCCCTACTGCCACCGGAAACCTTTAACAGTAAGTAACTCCTGTGTCCCTTGGGTTATCCCTTCCGTTGAGAATCAGAATCTCGGCTCATGGAAAAGCATCAATAAAAGGCCTTTTGCTTGAACCTTGTTTCGGGTCCTCTCTGGTGTATCAGGCATACAGAGGAAATCTTTCTTTTTATATGACAAGGGATGGATTTGACTCTCTTGTTAGTTTCTGTTGAAGTCTCCCTGGTTACCCTGACTACATTGTACAAGGAGACTGTCAGTCAAACCGCTGTCTGTACTAAACCTCATGCCAGTTTGAACACAGTCAGTTGCAGTGAGAAAGCTACACAGTAGTTACAGCACTTCCTTCACAGGGCTGTTTGAAACCGTGTGTATCAGATGTTTTACCATCAGGAGCCTCAATGAACTCCTGTTGACCCTGCCAGCATCCACCTAGGTAGGCATAGAGATGTGGTGCTTCCCCTAGTGGTTCAGTGAGGAACTGCTGTGACTGCTAAGGGGCTTGGTCCAAAAACCTCTTTAATGCTTCAATGCTTTATTGAATGGTGGATTTGTGATAACAGACAGGGCTGTGTGTATCTGTTGCCGTGATAAAACACCATTACTAAAGCAACTTACAAAAGAAGGAATTTATTTAGACTTAGGTTCCATCATTGTCAGGGAGCTAGAGTAGTAAGTAGCAGACATAGTGGCTGAGGGCCCACATCCGGAACTGAGAGCCCTAAAAAGAAAGAACGGACACAAAATAGCTTGAGTTTTTAAATTCTCAAAGCCTGCCTCTTGTAGCATGCTTCCTCCATCAAGACATAGTCTTGCTGGAGCTTCCTTCAATCTCCTAAAAAGTACCATGAACTGGGGACCAAGTGTTGAAATGCCTGAGACCATAACTCATTCAAACCACCATGCTTTTATTGGTCCAAAATTGACTGTGTTTTGTGCTGACATCCTCTTTGGGGCAGTTTAAACAGACTTCACAGGGTCATAACGAATCAACTCTAGGTCCTCTTCCATGTTTGCTCCCTTGCTATCGGCCTGGTATGTGGTCTGGTCACCCCTTGTCTCTGTTCTGGTTTTGCGAGACAGTCCCAAGAAAATCTTATGGCTTGAAGGAATAAATTAGTGCTCAGAGGTGATTACTCCTGCTACAGGGTTAAGTCTTACAGCATCATGGGTCATTGCCGGTCCAGCAAGAATCTGCTGTTTTTGGGAATTCAAGTAACATCAGGGTTTGGACAATGACAATCAACCTTGGGACATTATAAAAGCTAATAGCAAGGTGTCTCAGATTTTTGTATCTCTTTGTCCTCAGCCTTGAAAGCAAATGAAGTAGGTTAGGTTTTCGGACAGTTTCTTGTGATGGTCAATGTTAGTTATCAACTTGAAAGGGTCTAGAATCTCCTGGAAGATAACCTTTGGGAATGTCTGTGAAGGAACTTCCAGACTGAATTCATTGAGGTGGGAAGAGCCACACTAAATGTGGGCAGCACCATTCCATAAGCTGGGGTCTTAGACTTCATAAAAAGAGGAAGAAAGTGTTCTACTTAGTTTTCTTTGTCAACCTGATACAGCCTAGGGAGTCATCTGAGAGACTCTCAATGGAGGGATCTGGTTGTCCTATAGGGTTGTCCCACTGATAGTTGTGGGATAACTCAGCATATGGTGGGTGACACCGTCCCTGAACAGATGGCCCTTGGCTGTTTAAGAAGGACCTTGCTTTCTGGATGGTGGTGGTACATGGCTTTAATCCCAGCACACGGGAGACAGAGGCAGGTGGATCTCTGTGAGTCTATGGCCAGCCTGTTCTACAGAGTGAGCTCTAGAACAGGCTCTAAAGCTACACAGAGAATAATAATAATAAGAACCTTGCTGAACATGCCAGAGAACAAGTAAGCAAGCAGCATTTCTCCATGAATCCTGCCTCCAGATTTCTGGCTTGATTTTCTTTTCTTTTCTTTTGTTTTTGTTTTTGTTTTTGTTTTTCGAGACAGGGTTTCTCTGTGTTGCTTTGGAGCCTGTCCTGGAACTAGCTCTTGTAGACCAGGCTGGTCTCGAACTCACAGAGATCTGCCTGCCTCTGCCTCCCAAGTGCTGGGATTAAAGGCATGTGCCACCACCACCCGGCCTCTGATTTTCTTTAAATGTGGACTGCAATTTGGAAGTGTAAGATGAAATAAACCTTTTTTTCCCTCAAGTTAATTTTGGTTGCAGTATTTCATTGCAGCAACAGAAAGTAAACTAGAATAGAAATTATCCATCTCTCTCTGCTTCCAGACTGTCGGTGCAGTGCGACCAGCTGCCACCATGATGTTCTTCCCATGGTGACTGCATCATCAAAGGGTGAGTTAAAGCAAAGCCTTCCTTCAGTTGCTTTTATCAGATGTTGTGTTTTGAATGAGAAAAGGCCCCAATATGCTCAGATAACACTTGGTCCCCAGGTGGCAGTTCATTGGGAGCTTTATGGAAACTTTAGGAGGCGGGGCCTTGCTGGAGGAAGTACATCACTGAGGGCTAAGGCTTTGATGTTCTGTAACCTGGCCCTAATTCCTCCTCCTCTCTCTCTTCCTGAGTGTTGATGTGAAGTGGCAAGCTGGTATCCTGCTTCTGCCACCATGCTGTCCCTGCCATGACGAACTCTCTGCCTCTGGAGCTATGCTTGAATTATGAGCCCAAATAAACCCGTTCTCCTTTACAATGCTCTTGTCAGGGATTTTTTTTTAAATCACAGCCTCATTTGCTGTGATCTGCAGTATTATATAGCGAGAGTACAGCTGAGAATTTCTAGGCTGACCCATGGGAATCACATATTCTGTTGGAGGAAACCCAACTTGCAAAGCTTTGGGAATATTTGCCTTAGGAATAGTTTCTGTCATTTTTGTAAAACCCTTGTGAAGCCATAGGGCTCCCCTTCTTCCACAGTGGGACTTATTCCAAAAAAAAAAAAACCCTCAGCATTGTATTAATCAATTATTGTGCATAATTTTCTCATGTACTGTTATACTGGATGACTTTTCATTTGGGCGGATAATCTTGTTATATAGAATATATATTGGGTGCTTTGAATTCCAGAAAAGGCCCAGAGAAAGGAAATGCATCTCACTCAGGTGTCAGAGGGAACAAACCCGCCATTTATCCTGGATGCTGGCACTGCCAGGCTCTGGATTTAACACTACCAGTTTCCCCTTAGATCTAGGCACCTTAGATGTTATCTCTAGGGCTAAAAGATTCCATTCCCTTTAATCAGCAAGCATTTGGCGAAAATACCAATGCAGACCAAGCGCTATTCGTTTTCCACCCGCTGGTGCCATGGCTACCAAGAATGCTGTGTTCCTAGCCGCCCGAGGAACGGAAGCACTTAGAGAAGGCACAGCACTGCCGCATTTTTCTTCTCTTTTTCTACATTCATCAATTACAAACTTCGAGCTTAACTCACCACACAAATGTAGCTAACACACAAACTCCCTTTCCCCTTCTTAGAAATCACAGCCCCTTCCTTTACTTACCTTTTTCAGATATGCCAGGGCATTTCACAGCCACGCCCCCTCTGAGACTTAAGTAAGCTAACAGGCACCCAAGCTAACTGGCGCCCGCTTTGTCAGTCTTATCTGATTTCTTGGCCTTGTGAAATGCCTGCCTGGTATCCTTGGTATCGTCAAAGAATTGTTAATTGTGTCTGTGTGGGTAAACTGAAAACCTTGTGGGCTAGAGAGACCACTGAGAGAGAACCCTGGAAGAGAGAGCACTGGGGAGAGAATCGGAAGAATAAATGAGGCCTGATGCGAAAACCTTTGTGAATTGACTCATCATTCCTCAGGCCCCTTTTAGTCAGATTTCACTTGCTTTGGCGTTCCTTCTGGATCCTGAAAGGTTTAGGGGGCTGGCACCCCAATAAACCTCAATACTCATTGTTAAGGCAATGAGGAAGTTCAGGATGATCAACAAGCCACCTACAGGGATACACAAGAGACAACATAAAGGGTGCAGTCACAAGATGCAAGCCAACGTGTCTTCTTCCAGCCCTGTCTTTATGATGTTCAGGCTCCAAGCACATTGGTCAGCAAATACATCTTCCATGTATCCAATATCTTCTCCTTCAGTCCACCCACCTGTCTTTGCTGGACCCAGATATCTGTCTTCTGAGACTCTGACTCTCTTAGCTTCTGCCCCACAAGTTAGGTAGAGATTATGCTGTTCTGGCTTTGAGTTGAAGTGATGTCTCTACCTGTGGTTCAGCCTAGAACCTGGTGGAGCCCATGTATGGAACATGTATGTGTGTATGTGTATTCTTATCTATGCTAGCCACATGGCTTGGTACCTTTCTCATCCGGGTTGCTCACATCTTGCTTCTTTGGTGGTCTGGGCAGGACTGTGGAGGGAGCTTCCTGATTCCCAGAATACTCCTGTTCTCATTGCCCCACCTCTACTTCCTATATCTGGTTGACCCACCTATACTTCCTGCCTGGCCAATCAGCGTTTATTTAAAACATAATTGACAGAATACAGACAATTCTCCCTCATCAAAGAGGTAGCTCATTTCTCTGAGTGTCTTCTCCTTCTCTAGAACCTTCTATAATTATGTCAGGCAATCTTCTGAGTGTTTATGTGAATTGTGTCTCCATCTCAGAGGATAAGAAAAAAGAGGCTCAAGAACAAAAGATCTGGCACAAAATAGTGATGGGGTTGGAAATCCCTGCCCCCGTCCCCATGGAGTAATTCTGAGCTCAGTCTGTGGTCCATACAACCACACTAATCTGCCCCAGCTCATGTAAGCTTCCGTTCTTCTGTCTTCATGGAGCTCAGGAGGTCCACACTCTGACTGTTGCTGTTCTCATCCCTGGGGACTATAGTACCACAGCAGGTTCGCCAAGTATAGGAATGTCTCCACGCAAACCCAGAGAAACGAGCAGTGGTCCTCAGCCTTCCTACTCCAGGGCAGCCATGCACAGTTAACAGATCTACTGACTCCACACTCCCATCCTTCCAATAAATGTGTCAGCTCGTATGCAGCATCATCCTTCAGCATCAACGTGACACCACCCCACTTACAAACAGCAGGAAAATGTTGAGGAGGGAGCACAAGGCCATGGCCTGGGTGTGGCAGGAGCAAGGGGTGAGCAGGCTGCTGTTCGCAGAGTTGCATCAGTGGGCTGGCATCTCTGAGTTCCGTCTAGATGGGATCATTAGCAAAATTATAAAGCTAATGAAGAGCAAGTGAATGCCATTCCGTGGTAAGTCTACAGACAGCAGCATTTCATGCATCATGGGGACATAACTGCCAGAGTGCTTGGCAAGCACTTATTAAGTCTCAACAGTATCTCTGGATGGCTGGTCCCCGGGGAGCTGCTCTTTCAAATGGACCGGAGATAAAGCAAAGCCCATTTGAGTGGAATTCGGGCAGTAATCCCAGGCCAGCTTCCAACCTCACTTTGCACGGTGAAACTGTACTATTTGGGGGCATTCACTTAACAGTTAAAGGTCTAAGAGGGGGCGGCCCCATCCTCAGCAAAGAACGCTGAACCATCAAATCGCAAAAATGTTTGCATGCAAAAATAATTCTTCTCTGTTGTTGCTTTTCATTACTTGTTTTTTAAAGCGAAAGAGCACAGGAGTAGGACCTCTCTGCCTGGACCACGGGCATGCCTGGTTACAGAAGGATGCTGTCTTTTGGGCTGTGGCTTACACAGGACTGGATGATGGAGGGAGGAAGCAGAGGTGTGCAGCAGTGGGTTTTGAAATCATTAGCATCCTTGTCATGTATTCTCCCTGGGTTGGGATGTGACTAACATGAATTTAGAATTCCTTTTACACTGGGTCTCTTCTCTGTAGGCTGGTCAGTGCAGACACAGCTGCATTAAATCCAAATGCTGCCAATTGCTGGCTTGGGCAAAGGCACGTGCTGGCAGCTGTGTCTGGCTGAGATGTTACCTCTGCGGGCAGAGGTCAGCATGTTAATGGCACCATGTGAAGGCTTATGTTGTGTTCTTTGGGGCAGGAAAGAGGGCTTTCAGGACACTATGGTTAATAAGTAGGACAGAGACTAGAAATAGGAGAGAACAGACAGGTAGAGGCGGCAGTGGGATCCTGTTGGATAACCACAGGATATGAGTTATCTCTTCTAGAGTCCTGGGCTCCATCGCTCAGCTGCAATCACTGAAAGGAAATCCGCACGGGCTCTGACTGCTTGAAGAAAGGATATTCCATGTGTAATAGGTTCTGGGCCAAGGAAGGGGCTAATGGTAAAGCTATGTCCTTTGCAAAGGCTAAGAGAGGCTTCTGAGTCACTGGGGAGGGGGCTTGGGTTGATTAGGAAGGGGCAGTTACAAGAGACAGGTCCAGCAAGCACCGAGAAGACCATAGACTTGGCCTAGTCCTCTTTTATAGCTCATAGCCAGCTGACTGCTGACAAGTCTCGACTTCAGACTACCCAAAAGTCATAGCTCTGGGTTGAGAGGTTCAAATCTGTCTCAATTGAAGTGGAATCAGCAGGGTCAAATCTGGGGATGACTCTGCCCATTAACTGTCGGCCATACTAATATAAGGACCTGAGCTCCATCCTCACCACCCACATAGAATAGCTGAGCTTGGGGTCACGTTTGCAACCTCAGCTCCAGGGAGGCAGGGAAAGGTTGATCTGGGGCTCATGGTTCAGCTGACAAGTTTCAGGCCAGAGAGATACCCTGTCTCAAGAAGCAAGGTAGATGGCCTCCTGGGGAACAACACTAGAGGTTGCCTTCTGTCTTACACACACACACACACACACACACACACACACACACACACACACACAGAGTAAAGATGAAGATCTTTATGGCTGGGATCTCATGGACATCTGTCTATAGCAGGAAGCATTGCACAAGAGTTCCAGAGCCCAATGCCCAACATTTTCCAATTGTCACTCAACACTAGACGAAATGCCACAGTTAGGGAATCCTCCCAGCAGCCGCCTGTTCAGTCCTGGACTGGTGGCATGTTGATATTGATTTTTCAGCCGAGAAATAAGTGCAAGCTTCCTCAAATTGATTTTAAAAGCACTTGTCTTGAGGATCCTGTGTGTCTTGATTCTCCTGAGAACTAGAGGAATCAGAAGAATTGGGAAAGGTCGTAGATTTATCCAAGGCTGGTTGTGAAGACAGCAGGGACTTTTCTGTCTCAAGCCTCCATCTCGGGGTACAGTGGTATTCCTGGCATGAGCAATGCAGTGGAAATTGGTGAACTGAGTAGTCTCCCCTTCCAGGACCTGTCTCTCTCTTGTGTACTAAAAATCAAAGTTGATCAGAACCTGCAACTTTTCCTCTCTAGACACAACCTTTCTGCAAGTTGACTCACGTGAGCTAAAGGGA